GTGTGTGTGTGTGTGTCAATGTTATTTTATTCATATCTATCTATATTATTCTATTTATTTGTCTAATTTTGAGATTATATCTAATCTATCTATCTTTCTATCTATCCCAGTCTGTTCCAGTCTATCTCTTTATTGAAGATAATATATATATATATATATATATATATATATATTTTATTCATATCATCTATCCTGCCTAATTCTATATCTATCTATACATTCTGAAATGGACAATTTAAAAGACATTTTTTTTATGTTTAACATTTAATTTAGAAAATAGATAAAATATATTTTAGTAAATAGAAATGTTTATAATGAACAGTATTAAATAACATTTACCGGCCTGAATGTAAGAGAAATTTTCAATAGAAAATATTCGTCATCATAAAAACAAATTCGAACTTGCATCCTATACGGAACCGTCATTTACGTTGAATGCCTTAACAAACTCGGCCATAAAGGGCGTTCGGTATAGCAAGATCAATTTCATGGAAGATTAAAGTTTATAAGCAAAAAAAATACTTATTATCTATAAAAGAATGTTTTTTTAAAAAATGTCTTTATCTATCAGACATGGTTTGAAATCGTTCAAAATGAAACAGACTATCGCCACTTGGTGTTGACCTCAATGTCCACTTTTATATTTACATACGCTCTATAACTGATATTGAGCACAAATACAGTATAGCATACCATAAAACTAATATTCTTAGAAATACAGGGTGATTAATTAGTAACTCTCCATTTTTAAATACTTATAATTTATTTATTAACTATAATTTTTTAAAGAAATGGCGTTGAGAGGAAAGCGTTTCGCGTGTGCTTGTATTGAAAATTCAATATAGCCACAATATTTCGCTACGGGTTCCCAAGAGGCCCAAGGATCGCGTCAAGTGATTTAACCAGGAACTCTTGTTGTACGGAAGACATAACTACTTGTATTCGTCATTAAAGTTCTTCCAAACTCTTGCTTTCGTATTGTAGATTTTCTCCTTTAACCAACTCCAAAGAAAAAAAAGTCACATGATGTTTAGTCAGGACTCCTCCTAGGTAGCCACTAATACATAAAATAGGAAGTTACTTTTCAGTCACTCTGTACATATATACCAAGTGTAAGAACAAAATTGTCCAATTGCTAGATTAAGGTTTGGGCTATTGTACCTTAGAAATGATTAAAGATATCTTACCGGAATTCTCTGAGATTTCTATAACACTATTGGACTCCATTTTGAATAATAACTATGTATTTAGCTCTAAGCTGAATTGATGATCCCTCTTGCTGTTGTGACCTCTTGATCCAGTTTTCCTTTCTACTGTTCCCTCTTTTTTAAACTTATTCACTGTTCTCTTGATAGCTCTTGAATGGACTTTGAAGATGAAAGCCAGAGTATGAAAGTTGGTACCATTACTGAAGACCTGAATGATCTTTTTCCTCTCACCGTTGCTCATTTGGGAAGACATTGTAAGTTTCAAACAAAACGATTTTAACCTGTTCTCTTTCTAGCTGAATAACTCAAAGGGGTTTTCAGTTATTCTTATGATAAATGGTTTCAAGATGGCTAAACATCTCTGAAAACCTGGAAAAAAGAAACTCAATTAGTTTAGTGGATTTTTAGATATTAAAAATTTTGTGGGATGGACATTTATGCTGTTACACGATTTGAAGAACTTTACTGTTATACCTGTATATGCTTACATGTATTGTTCTTTACTTGTGATTCTGTAGCAGAAATTCATGATGAGCGAATAAGGATGGTTTTTGCTTTGACCTATAATCTTCATTTGCTCGAAACAACTTTTGACTATTGATTTGAAAAATCGATTGTATATGTTATACTTTTGTGATGGATAAGGCAAACATTTCTCTCGAGTATATCTGAATATGTTCAGACTTCCACTTCTCTGGGACGCAAACCAGATGAATAATTTGTTGCCGAGCAGTAGAGGAAGTTTTATGTGTTCATACTGTTGGTAGAAAATGACTGAAAGGAAACTGAAGCAGTGGATTAAGATCAAGCTTTGTGCAAATATTGTGCTAGTTAGCGCTATTAAATATGGTAATATTAACTGTTTCCTGACAAGGAAACATTTAACATTCGCTGACTGTGTATTACTGCTATTGGCTAAAATTTATGAAATCATTCTCTTAAAACCATTGTTCAGGAAAATAGGTTTCTTAAGTCCATTAAAAAAAATTACTTTTTGCTTTCATGAAAAATAACGTCAGCATTGTGATTATGTTCTTGTTTTCTCTTCGAGTTAATGGTGCTATTCATTTTAGTTGTCGCTGCTGTTAGTAGTCTTCAAATAATGTAGTTTCTATTATTTGGTAGAAATCTCTCTGATTCTGCAGTGCCGGTGCACAAGGTTCACAGAAAAGTGGTTCTTTATCAGACCTACAGGTTTCCTTCTCCAGAAAGTTACTAGTATCTATTGATATGAGAATGAGATTGTTTGCTTTAATAATAACACAGGGAAACCCCCAAAAAAGGGAACTTTTTAACAATCCAATAAAACCAAGATTGATGGAAGAAAAATATTTTATTCATAGTAATTGAAACCTTAAAATATGCCATTTAAGAAACAATGATGGAATTATCATTTTTTTTAAAAAATTACGTCCTGTAGATGGCGTCCTCCTGTACGAATGCATTCTTGAAATCTGCTGTTGAGATTCCTCATTGACTGCTGCAACATCTCAGCTGGGATACTATGAAAATTTCATCTTGAATTCTAAATGGCGAAATGTTTACTTGCTCAAGATCACTGTCTCGCAGTGTTGCCACTTGCTCATGTCTGGCAATACGCACTTCAAAAATTCCTGTCTTTTTGGGCCACCCTGTATTAATGTTAACTTTTTTTTTTTCTAAGGAAACGTTCGGTATTTATTCACCAAAAAACCAGAGCTGCTTACATGTTTTCTCCATGTTTCTGAACCAGCAGTCGCCAACCAACCTTTTGAACGTTAAGGACCACTAAATGTAGAATTTTAAATTTGGCGGACCACTAATATGAATTTAGAAAAAAAAATGGTAAATACAATTATATAATAATAATGTGAAAACTTTTATTTTATTAATATGAAATGTACCTATTAAAGGTAACAAAGCTATAGTGTAATTATTTTTGATAAAACAAATTGAAAGTTTGATGTTTATTCAAGTATTATACGTTTTTAGTGTGATATTACTTTCCTGTTTGAAATCAGTTTGTGGATTTTGGGATCCAATGATGGAGGGATGTGTAGTTTCAAGCCGAGATCATATTTTCTCAGCTCTTTCTCACATTCTGAAAATAGAATGAAGTCCAGATTTCTTGACTTTTTTCTTATTCTTTTCTTCTTCT